GCTGAAGTGTATTCGAACTATTATTTTGGCGGGAGCAGTTTTTAATTTGTTTATTACTTCATTTATTTATTTAGATTGATCAGCTTTACTTGTTTTTTTAACGGTTATTTTATCGGGTTATGTTTGTTAGTTTGTTTATTTATTTGGGTTAATTTATTTTACTTGTTTTTTTATTATTTATTTATTATACTGCATATTTTTATTTACTTTTTCTGTTTATATATATATATATATATATATATATATATATATATATTATTTTGAATTTCGTCCGATATCTATATTTAACACGGATGAGGATCGTACATTAAATATCTAAACCGCAAAGCAATTTTTATATACTTTACAGATAGATAGATAGATACATAGATAGATAGATAGAAGGCTTTGATAAAAATCTTAGAGATCAGAAATAGAAAGGAGATTAAACACAGACAGAATAGATGTACACCAGAAACATATTAATAAGAAAGAAAAGGAAAGAAAGTAAGAAAGAAAGAAAGAACTAATCAAATAATGCGTATAGAAAAACGAAAGGGGAATAGTAAATATGCGAGGAAAGAAAGGAACAGTCCGCAAAGAAAGTGAATGAAATACCGAAATAGAAAATATCGACAGAAAGAAAAAAGAAAGAAAGAAAAAAGCAATAAAGAAGGGCTATGTAAAGAAAACAACGAAACGAGAATAGAAAACAAACAAACGAAAAAAGAAAGAAAAAAAGAACGAAAGAAAGAAACAAACACATAAACAAACAAACAAAAAACAAACAAACAAAGAAGGGATGAAGGGAATAGAAACAACGAAGCGAGAATAAAAAAAACATACAACGAAAGAAAGAAAGAAAGAAAGAAAGAAAGAAAGAAAGATAGAAAGAAGGGATGTGTAACGAAAACAACGAAACCAGAATAAAAAACATACAATGAAAAAAAGAAAGAAACAAAGAAAGAAACAAAGAAGGGATATGTAAAGAAAACAACGAAGCGAGAATAAAAAAAACATACAAAGAAAGAAAGAAAGAAAAAGAAAGAAAAAACAAAAATATTGTATATGTAAAAAAGATGAGAAATTTGAATAGAACACATGCGACTAAAAAATAAAGAAAGAAAGAATACGTTAAAAAATGGGGATAGAATAAATGCAACAAAAGAAAGAAACAAACAAACAAAAAAAGAAAAAATGTATAGAAATGGAATGAAAGATGGAAATAGAAAACATGAAAAGAAAGAAAAAAGAAAGGAATAAAGAAGGAAAAAAAATTTTTAAAAAAAGTAATAAAAACAAAGACAAAAAAGGAAGAACATTTCGTAAGAATCCCAACGTGTCATCCTGAAAAGCTGTTAACGTCTAACCTTTTCAGCATGGGAGATCGATTTTAAATTTATGTATCGCTACACAATGTGCATTATTCATGAACCTTCAAGGAAATATCTCTATTCTTTGCTCAACTGCAGAAGCTAATTTTTGTCGCGAATCAATTCGAACAGAAACTGCCATCGCCACGGTTATTCCTTATTTAAAATGGCTACTGTGCGGCCTAATGAAGAAGGCATACAACTCTCATGTCTCCAAAGTCAAATGTTCACCATTGCTTTTTGACGCGATTATTTTTGAATGGTCGCTTTTTTGAATTTCCAATTCTCCCTTTTTTTTCCTCTTTTCTTTTCGTATTAAGTTTCGCCATTTGTTGTTGATATTAGCCGATTATTAATATCCTTCCGACTTCTGAATAACTTGTAACGAGTCTTTTAACTTACAAAAAAATGACAGCAAGTCTTCAACAGGGGCAGCAGCTGCATGAGAGATAAAAACATTGCTGAGTATAGGTTAAGTTTAACCCTTTAAGCCCTAACCACCGCTTTACCGTTGGTAGGGAGAAATAACGTTATGCCCAGCCACCGGTTGAACTGTGGTAGATAAAAATGACTTAATGCCTAGCCACCGGTTGAACAGTGGTAGATAAAAATGACTGAATGCCCAGCCACCGGTGAAACAGTGATAGAAAAAAAATGACAATACCCAGCCACCGGTTGAACAGTGGTAAAGAAAAGTGACTTAATGCCCAGACACCGGTTGAACAGTGGTAGAGAAAAATGACTTAATGCGCAGACACCGGTTGAATGGTGGGTAAACACTTGTAACTATTTTTATATCTACCGTGAAACGTTTACATACCAATTATTTACGAATTTTAACTCAGGATCTCATGCAGAAGGGTTAAAATTATTCAGAAACGCGGGGCTCAAATGGTTAAGACTAAAAATTTTCCACAGAAAATAAATGAAACATCGTCATCACAGAAATTGCAATGTGCTGATAAGCCGTAGAAAACGAATCGGTCAATTAAGAGCATACAACACCACATAGCAAACCTCTAGCTTGACTGGTCCTTGGGCCTTGTATTGGGTAATCATTAATACAAAAAGAAAGAAGATAGTAATATAGGGAAAAGAAGAGAAAGAGTTTGAGAACCTTAGCAGCCATAACATCAAGTGATAGCAATAAAATTGAAAGAGAAAATTTAAAATGGCGAGACCTTCGTAATTAATGACCTGAGCGTAGAAGATAATATGGAAATAGGAAAATAGATGGCTGGTTTTGACTCTCAAATGTTTCAAAATTGTAACTGGTGCATACTTTTATTTTGGTTTGTAAAAACTGATATATCTCAGCGTACAAATTGCAGATTTTCGCAGATCGATTTTAGATTTGTCGATAGAGTAACGACATCAGTGGATGCTAAAAGCTTGTGAAAGATAAAATGGCTAAAGGCTTAGAAAATTAGGGAAGAAGAAAGGTGGGGGAGGGGGTCAAACGGTAAGACAAGAATATAATATGTGTGCGCAAAGAAATAAATTGAGATTAGAAATTCCGCAAAAAAATAGCGGACTGGTTGCAAAAGAAAAAAAAATCGTTATTATCTCTAAAAAAAAACTTCTCACAATCTAGAAATATTTTTTAGCTTTACATAACTCGCAAAAGGTTGATAAACCGTAAAAAACAATATTCTTTATTAATATTCTTTATTATGTAAAAAAACAATATTCTTTATTTTTCTTACTCCATTATTTTTTCTTTCATATTACTCTTCTCATTTCTTTAGAAATTTGTTTCTATTCGTCTTTCTTTTATTTTTTTTAATTAATTTTCATTTTTTCTTTCTTTTTTTTTTTTATTTGTTTTCTGCCTTCTTCATCTTTTCATTCTCTTTCTCTTTTTTTAATTCCTTTTCATGGCTTTTCTTTTCTTTATTCCTCTCATCTTTCCCCTACTTTTATCTATTTTCTCCTTTTTTCATATATTCTTCCTTCACTCTCTATTTTCCCTCTACTTCTTCTACTCCTCATCGTTCTCCTCTTCTTTCTTCAACTACACAGTCCCTTTCCTATTCCTCCTACCTATCATCATTCTTCCATTCTTTCTTTTCTTACTTATTTTTCTTCTCCGAAACTGTTTCTTACACTTGTGTGACTATAAAGACTTTGGAAATTTTCCATTTCTGTTTTTCTCGAGCGAGGTCCTTATTTATTAATATATATATATATATACACAATACTCCCTTTGTGTTTGACGTGATGTAGCAGCTAAATTCCCTGTTTGAAAAATGTTCATTATCTTTGTTTACAATAAACCAGCCGAATTTTCTGGCCTGCTGACTTGTCTGACTCTCAAAATCCCTCACGCAATTAATTTCTATGTAAGACTACCGTAGTGAAACGGTTCATGAACTCGACTTGTAAACACGTAACATTCATATATCATATAAAATACTATTTGCTAGATGCAAGACGTCCCATGCGTCGACTTTCGAAAAATGTTAGAGAAATCTTAGAATTGTCTTTTGAAGTTTTGCTTGGGGAGCCAGGCAATTATAGCATGTTATTAACAAAGCTGAGGCAAATTTTATAGCCTATGAAAAATTGCGTTCTGAATTAAATTTGTGACGATCATCATTAACACACACATAAATATACTTATGCAAATTCAAATTATACAGCAATAACTATTCTTTGGATAGCAAATCAACACTACTGTGTAATGCGACAATTTTATAATCGCTATATTTTCATTTAGTCGATCTCGGGCACTTTTTGGAAAATCGGATCCTAGAAGCTTTTTTCACACGAACTTTTATGGACCCCTTATATATATATATATATATATATATATATATATATATATATATATATATATATATATATATATATATATATATATATATATATATATATTGAAACTAGATTAAACTACCTGTTACCGAGTTCGAAGGAAGGAATCAGCTCACCTGTATCGAAATTCGGCATGTGAATTATTGGCTCCAACATGAGTTGGATCTGTTACAGAAAAAACAATGCTGTTGCCTAGATATGGCCTTATTTTTTACTTTCTTATCAACCACTTGAAAATACATTACAAAGATCTTTCAAACCATTCCTACCGATTAACTGTTTTAATCATTTCAACCCAAGAAAAGGGATAATGATATTAAAATGAAGGGGTTACAGAAAGTGAAAGAGAATAAAAACACTGGGGAAGATTGAGGAAAGGACGGAAAGGAAACACAGTTCAAGAAGATGGTATTTAAATTTTTGAAGATTGTAGTTGTCAGGGAAGCAAGAAATCGGAAGGGAGTTTCACACATGGGAAGTGCGCGTAAAAAAAAACTGTTAGTGTAGAAGTGTTGATTGCATCTAGATATTTCAACAGTAAAATTGTGAGGCTTAATTTCCAGTCTCATGGCACGCTTAAATTCGCGTAGTCGGGGCAACAGGAAAGAAAGCTCATCAGAGCAATTGCCATTAAAATATAAACAGAAAAGACAGAATGAAGCCATATCACGTCGGTCAGAAAGTGACTGATGTCGAGATGTCGGGTCAGAATCAATTAGATTACCTATCCTTATTTGGAGTTTGCCAAGAATCTCGAGATGTGTAACAGTAGAACCAGACCAAATATAGCGACGATATTCTTGGTACGGACGAGTGGCAAAAATACGCTGTATTCTTTGTCATATACGAGACATCTTTCTTTGTTTTGAAAGCATCTTCCAGAATTCTTCCTTTTTCTCTGAGGCGGATAATGGGGTAATTTTTGGGTAACATTTAAACACTCAATGTTTGACACAGTGTGTAAATGTGCCTAGAGAGGCGACATGACAAGTGGAATTGTTAATTTGAATTTAAATTCCAACAATTATCTGTTGCGTTCACTTTCTCATCATTCACAAAGAAAAGATATGACTCCATCTTTTCTTACCCCACCAACTATGTTTTAAATCAAGAATAACTAACTCGCCTAAGAAAAGGTTTACACTTGATCTAAACATTAGAAAAGCTATGGAAAATATCTCTACCATATTTCCCAAGAAGCCACAGCACTTTACAGTAAATAGAGTAAAACAAACTGTGAAAATGCTGGTAAGCTAGCACCAGAACGGACTAGTGGGTAGCATTATAGTAATCGTCGCCCGTAGTAGGATGGTCATAATGACATTAAATCTCAGTCACGTCCGTTGGGTTCTATTTCGAGCACACGTTCTTGGGAAAGTAATGACAAGTTGATTGGCAAATCTCTCTAAGAGAAAGACAATTCTGAATTCAAAGCTGGCCTATCGTGGAGCTGTAGGTTACACCGCGTAAAGTCGACTTGATACCGAAACCAAAGCAGCGACACCTAACGGAGTGAGGCTGTGGTAGTCAACCCCACAGGATGTCTACTGTTTCGACAAGAAGTACATAATGCCAATACGTTTAGAAGTAAAATCTCCACCTTTAAAAACAGTGTTCCGCGGTACTGTAAAATATTTTTTTATCTCCTTCCACTTCTTATAAAATGAGAGCGGCTTCAATAGGGTTATTTTTTTACTTCTTCTTCTTCAGTTATGTGCCACTTAAACGACAATGTATCTTTCGAAGCAGATGTTTCCCGCAGTAGTTTGTTATTTCTTTCTCCTGTAGACCAGTTGCCATCCAAGTTTATAGAACACGATCTGTCCTTCTATTTACCCATAGCTGGAGAGAGAAGAAGATTCATACCTTTCCGAAGGGTATTAGCACGTAAGTGAATGTAATTATTATGGGGTCCACCCTTTTCGGATATAATGGACTCGTCCTGCTGCCATAAAATAGCCACAGTCATGCAGAGAAGTGAAGTCGTACGGGAGTGAGAAAGCCCGTCCTCTCAGTAGAGATCCCAGTTTCGTCCTCCACCCCTCGGCATACACCTAGCCCTTCCCCTGTCAAAAAAAAAAATCTGAAATGCCTCCTCCCCTCTCCAAGCGGGAACGAAGCCCCTCTCAAACAGGAAAAGAAAAAAAAAAGAAAAAATTCATCTTTAACTCGGGCGAGGACCTCTGTAGAATTTCATCAGATCAAGCAGAGAGAGCCCGGGATTATGGAAACCGGATTAAGGAATTGAAATACCTTCTTTCAATTAGGCAATATGCCGACAAGGATGTGGAAGTGCCCTTTAATTTCCCACAAGCCCAAAGGGTATTAACAGTTGTTCGAACTGGAAGTGGTGCCAAGTTAATTTGGGCAATGATTGAGGAGGCTATTGCATCTTTCAAAATGGCCTTACCCATTGCCATCATTCATAATGAACAATTGAAACAGCTATCTAAACTTTGTGCAGGGAGGGTCCCCGTTTTAGTTCACCCATCCCTGTATAGAGCTCTAAAATTAACTTTCCCCTGGGATATCGGTGGAATCTTCCAAGACGGTACCATCAAAACTGAAATGGGCAATGGGTCTATGGGAGAGGCCGTCGGTATCCTTACCCCGGCCATGTTTGGTGAATGTTTGTTGTGTGCAAGAGACCCGGTTTTCTTCTCATGACCGTGAGGATATACTGGGGGGTTCGCCCTTTATTCAGCATGTTTTGATGGTCGTTCGAGGGGTGTCTCTTGGCTAGTGAGCAGGTCTTTGAAGGCTGCATGTACCCTTGTCTTCGCAGATCCGGCGGGCAGGCTTTGTGTGCTGGATGTTACTATAAAGGATAAGGCTTTACGTCTCATTGGGGTTTATGCGCCCAATAGCCATGCTGAGCGGCCTGCTTTGTTTCGGCAGATCGAGCCGTTTTGACGACTTCTCGTCGGGTAGTCTTAGCGGGGGATTGGAATGCCGTCCTTGACCCCGATATAGATCGCATAGGTAAAAACCGGGTACTAACAATCCTGATGTGAAGGCATTTCGGGACTTTATCGGCAGGCTTGATCTTGTCGATAAGTACCGGAATGAGCACCCTCAGGAGGTAGCTTGGACTTGGACAACTAGTGGCAACTCGGCTCCTGGCTCGCTTGCGAGCTACCTGGACTGAGTGTTAGTTAGGAGAGTCGATGTAGGGCTCTTAGGGCGTCCAAGTTTCCACTATATAGTTTATACGGATCATAGGCTTGTCCGGGTCCGTGTAAACTTAGATAAGCCTAAGGTTAGGATGGCTGGTTACTGGAAATTATTATGTTCATTATTTGGTGAGCAGGATTTCCGGGACCAGCTGCTACTAATGATTCAGAGGGAATTGACGGGGGCGGTTGTGGGAAACGCCTGGTGGGGCAAATTAAAATCCAAAATTAGAATTTTGCTGCTGATTTTAGTCGTCGACTCAATCTAGATAGATTAGCGGCGCAAACGGTTTTAGAAGAAAAGGTCGATCGGGCCGTTAAATCCCGTGTTAGTGGGGACATAGTTTTAGCTAAGGCAGAGTTGTCCTCCCTGCTTATCAAGAAGGATCAAGCTCTGGTAGTTAGGGCTAGGCTAAAAAGAATGTCTTCTGAGGCGACGAATATGGCCGCTGAATTGCGTGCAGAGGAAAATCGGAACGCGGCTAAGCGACATATAGCGTGCGTCACATTGCCGGATAAGCGGACCGTGACTACAAACGCAGGCATATGCGAGGCCTTTCGGGATTACTTTCAGGATCTTTTCACCAGGGAGGCCGGTCTGAGCTCTGCTCAGTTCGACGCCTATTTGGCTGACTTTCCCTGCCTCGAGGCAGCTGAAGCGGCTAGGTGCGAGGGTCCCATTACAGAGTCGGAAATCTGGGAAGCGCTGAAGCAGGTTGGCCTGGATAAGTCTCCGGGAATAGATGGTCTTCCCTACGAAGTGTACTTGAGATTGTCGCCCGTTTTTGTTCCTTTGCTGAACTGATTTTCAACCACTGGATGAAGCAGGGTCTCTATCTCAACGCTTCACCAGGGGTGTGATCAAGTTGCTGCGTAAAGACAAGAATGGTGGGGATGGGTTAGGGAATTTTCGCCCTTTAACGATGTTAAATAAGTTAAACATTTTGGCGAAGATCTTAGCCAACCGTTTGCAGCTTGTCCTGTCTCGTCTGATTGGCCCCGAACAGACTTGTGCTGTGAAGGGCAGGACTATTCAGGATAACCTTCATATGGTACGCTTGATCTTAGAAAAAGTCGACTGTGAAGCCGCGCTGATCAATTTAGATCAGTCCAAAGCCTTCGATAGGGTTGACCATCGGTTTCTGGTGGCTGTCCTGTCGGCGACCGGTTTCGGAGCCGAATTTCGCTCCTGGATCCGACTTTTGTATGCGACCCCGGTGCGCTGGTGGAAGTGAATGGGGTAAGGTCGAAGCCTTTCGTATTGTCTCGCTCCATTCGTCAAGGTTGTCCGCTATCGCCTTTACTTTACGTTCT